GATTCATTGTTTTGGGCTAAGCTGTAACATTAGTGTCTTTTTCTTTTTTCCTTTCTTGAAGCTCTTTGTGACTCTTGGAAGATAAGTGTGTTTGTCTTCCACTTGTAAATTTTCTACTGATGAATTAATGAAAGTGTTATTGATAAAAAATATATATATATATATATAAAACCATCATTATCTTGTCTTTTAACTAAAAGCACTTTTTCTTTTTTTTTTCTTTTTCTTTTTATGGTGCAACTTGCATGCGATGGCGCATAAAATGGCATGTGTGCATGGATAGATTTTTCTTTTCCTTTTGTGTATTAAACTATTTTAATTAATAAAATATCAATCATTCTTTTTCTTTGTTTTTTTTTTTTTTGAAAGCAGATGAGAGTCTAAACCTTCAATGGGGCTATAACTAAATAATCACATTGAGCATCTATATTGTCATGTGAAACAAAATATGGCAATTTGGACAAATGTGAAGGGGTCGACTATGATATGGAAAAGATATGATATCTGAAAAACAACCGACCAATAAGCTGGAATCATAAACAAAAGATATGATATTAGGACTTCTTTGGGCCTCTTGGTCTATTTATAGGTGGAAAATTACCATTTATTGGAGATATTTTCTGTGACTCCCAGATCTTGTTGTATTCATACTGCATTTTTCTTTGAGATGTGCTTCATGTCTCATCTACATTTGTGGAAGGGAACAAGGTCAGCTGTATTTATTGATATTTAGTGGAAGATTGACATGTGATTGATAAATTTTAACCAGAATCATACAAAAGATAGCCAACTCTTCTATATAACAGAGAGTAGCCAAGTGTATTCTTTTCTCTTTTTCTTCTTTTTTCTTTCTTTTATGAGGCTCTTAGTGACTCTTGGAAGATAAGTGTGTTTGTCTTCCTCCTGTAAATTTTCTACTGATGATTAATGAAAGTGTTATTGATCAAAAAAAAAATAGTAACCAAGGGTAAGGAGGTGGTCTAGTCCACAATGTATATTTCCCTCTTGGACGAGTATTAACAGCTACCCATTGTGCTATTTTATTAGATTCAAGGTAAATATGCTTAAATAACACAGATCGAAAAAGGATTTCAGCTTCATTTTATGTTCAAAAAATACCTTTTCCTGCCATGATATATCATTCACTTCTCACTTCTCCATAATTTTCCTGATGACTTCTGCATCTAATATAAAATGATCCCTGAAGCTCTCTAACTGATGTTGCTATCGCAGTGCTTGAATCATGACCCAGATTTCTCCATCACAAGATCTCATCGCCCTGCAATGCTGTCTTGAGGCTGCAATTAAAGATCTCAATGGTGACAACATGGCAAAACTGATGGTTGCATAAGAATGATCATCATTAAATGACCCATAAACAGAGAGCACAAACTTTATGAGAAGCACAGGTAGTAAAGGCTCACAAGAGGTTACCTGCGTACTTGAATGAGATTGTGCTTCTTCGGTACTTAGGGTTCATAAATTGGTTGCATTGGATGATGGAAGATACTATTGAATTTCTAAATATTTTGGCAACTTTGCCAGTTAGGGTTCAGAAATACCATATCTTTTACTTTTTTTTTGATAATCAACAGTAAGAATATTTCATTGAATTTAAAAAGAAAAGTCCCTAGCATCCCCATGGATAGTGGAGTACAACGATAACACCATTGTTGATGACCTCCCAGGAATGTTTTTAAGGGATAAGATAGCTTGAAACTACATCTCGCAAAAACTGACTTTGGTGGGTGTTGGATGAATCTGGATCTGCTACCAAATGTTTACAGCTTCCAACACGATCTATAGCCTAACATCTTAAAACATGATTGCCGTCTCTGCAGTACGGTCCCATCAATGACCACATACAGATACGAAACATGTTTGATTGAGACAGGTTTA